TTTATCGTAATAAAGCTATTTTCGAGTATTTTAATTAGAATTTATTATTATTTTATTGTCTCATCCATTCAAATACGCAATATTTGTTTTTGTAAGATACACAAAGTAAATGTCAAACATTCATGTGACTGACAGGATCACATGTCTGCCTATGAATTAGCCCAATGTACTAAAGTGGTTTTATAATTCAGACCTTGTTTTGTGGTTCCTTTCAACATTACTGCTCTCGTTTCTACTTCTACTGAATTAATAAAAAGTGTTGAAGTTCTTTGCAATTCTCACCACGCACCTAAAATACTCACTACTAAAATAGTTAGGAATCATAAATGTGGGTTTATATCCACATTTTATAGCTCCATCTTGTCTGAATATTCTCAGCATTCACACACTCATATTTATGTATCAGTCTATCGAGTCCCGTGTTATTTTATGTTTTTATTCTTATATAACATTTTTTATCGTGATACCGATATTGTTTGGTAAAATATTGTGTTTTTGTTTCGTTACACTTCCTTCTCGCACAGACTTTTATGTACCTACATTAATACATATCTGAAATTGAACGAATATTTTTCTTGATAATATAAAGGGTAAGTTATATTTAACACTAGCCGGAACCCGCGACTTCGTTTGCGTGGAGTTTGACAAGCCTCCTGCCTCAGGGCCGCCAGGTACGGGTGTGCAGAGACACTTGCGTCATTTTCAAGGGGGCAGCGAAAACAGAAATCGAAACGAAAACGAAACTTTTTCATCATTTTGATTTCTAATGTATTTTTATCTCATCATAGTAACATCTATTGATCAGTGTTCAAAAATAAATGCAAATGTTTATAGGCTTCGAATTACTTTATTAAACGTAAGTATGTATAATTTGAATCCTACAAGATGCGGGCGCGGGGTTCCCAAATATCCTATACCGTCCGAAAGTTTTACGTTCGGGATATTATGGGGCGGCTTAATTCTGGCACGCTATTGTTGCAAGGTAAGACGCGTTATGGAGTATTGGCTTGATAAGAAAATCGGGACCTTCTGATATTGGCTGATGCTTTGGCTGACTAATTCAGAAGACTTTTAGTAGCGGTACGCAACCGGCTGGCCATGGATGCGGTCCTCTTTCTTAAAAGTTATTTATAATAAAAGTTCGGTCACAATTCAGTTCGAATCAACTATCTCGCAACTGTAATATTATATTTTTCTGCTGAGCGTCCACAATTAACGTACTTATGAGACACATGTAATGAAAAATATTTTACTCCTAATTATTTTTTATAGTATAGGTGGCATAAAAGTACACGGGTCATCTGACCGACAGTAAATGGCTACCGTTGCACATGAAAAAACTTGTCACAAGTCCCCCCAGGTTTGAGCTCCAGTAATCTCACTGAGTATAGTAATACAAACCCCATCTTGTACTGAGTGAGTGCACTAACTTGGTAAAAAGCAAAGAAATAATTGCTTATAACTTGTTGAAAACCGGGTCTTTTCTAACCTTTCTTGCACATCCTACACTTCTACTCTGCACACTCAGCATTTCTTCATCAATAGCCGAGCGACCAATCCACTCATCACCAGTCTCATCCCCACATCCAAGCTAGACGGTTGTCTCAATCCTATAATAGTATTTTTTTTTTTTAAAGACAGTACACGTAAGTGTTACTTAATACATAAATAATTTCATCTTGTTTCTAGTCTAAAATAAAAGAACATGGTCATTTCATTGTTACTATCTTTATTTGTCCAAGTTTTTCTTATCATTAGTTACATATTTATTTTATTATCAGTATCTACAATCTGCAACGTTCTTCTTCGTAAAACAATCATATTTTACATGAAACAATTTGATTTTATTACAAACATCTTCTAACATTATTGCATAGAATTAAAAATCAAGAAATATAAAATGGAAATTATAGTTTTGTTTATAAATATCAATATTTACATTTTATATTTACAATTTTATTTTTACATATTTATTTTATATCTATTAAACATTCGAGAACAACAACTACGAAGTAATTTTCAAATAATAATTATTTCCGTGCTGTTATCATATATCTGAACCGTGTACTTAAGAAGGGGGATAGATACCTATTACTATTTACATTCTTCTATATTTAAGTACAAAAAATAACGTATTTAATTTTAAAATATCAATCCGGATCATTCTATAACAACAATTAAGAATATCTATTATTGTTACATTATTTTACAATGAAAAATTGAAAAAATAATGATACTGAAAAGAATTTACACAATTTTCATTCGAGAGTAACAAACTACAAAAATATCTTCTATAGAAAAGATTTACTTGAGGTACAATTTTATTTTGAAATGTCTAATTATAAAACATTTCTAAGAAGTAATCACAAAAACATTCACAAAAAATTCAACATAAAAGTTGTCGAAATCCCGAGTCTTATTTTACATTTTTTATTAAAGGCCGCAATTATGTAGGGTAAAATTGAAATTGCCATATAATCCCTTAACCTCAAATTAAATTGGCAAAAAGATTTTATGAAGAAAAGAGGAATGACAATTCTAGTATAAAGGTTCAAGAAAAATGCCAGTAACCAACATAGTGCGTACTGGAACAGGCTTCATTGGTGAAGGCTTATTCATCGAAATCTTAGTGTTTTAATAATTCTAGATTCTATTCTTTCTTAGAAAAATTCTACCAAGCTTTCTCAAGTTATTATTAAAAAAATGATTTGTCCCACTTTTGCCAAATGAATTGAAATCTAGATTCTAGTAATATTTTATCATTTTAAAAGATTTGCAATTGATGTTTATTACTGTAATTTTTTACACAATTATAGGTTTTAGTAAGAACATTTCAATTTCATTATATATTATATCCTATGTCATAAGTAATATATTATATTACTTATGACATGGGACAAACGAAAAGACGAGACACCTGATGGTAAATCACTTCCACCGCTCATGGAGAGCTGTAACAAGAGTCACAAGTACGTGAGGGGTGAGGGGGCCTTTGAGGTGGAAGTACGCTATTTTCTTGAATGTATTATCAGTCCGGATACACCGCAGGTGAAAATTTATTCCCCATGTAGGTTGTGCAAAGCAAAAAAATCTTGAAAAGTGATGGAGATGGAAGCTTACTCTTACTGTTGCCAATAAAACATTCCGAGAATACATTCAATAGTAAAGGTTTCTATCCTTTTAATAGAACCGCTATCAGTTATAAATGATACCAACGACCATTCAATATGGCTACCTCAAATTTAATTAAGTTTATTTAAATTTACGTTTTCCCGAAATTAGAAGGCCATTTCAATATAGGTACAGTTTCCAAAAGTTTATAATTCGCTTAGTACGGTCGAAAACAATAATTATGAGTTACGAAATTTACTTAATCTGTGCAACTACTAATATATTTTTTGAAAATTGTGTACTTATTATAATAATTTATATAAAGTTACTGTAAATATAAGCATTGACAAATATAAAACTTCAAAAGTACCTAAAATGAGGAACAACAAATAAGCATTTCTGTTCTGATACCAGGCATATTTAAGTTTTGAGCCCAGACAAACTCAAAAACTTATAGAAGAAAAAAAAAGAAAGAGCTCAGAAGAGCTCCGAAACTCCTGTAAGAAAAAAAACAAAAAACATGATGACGTAGAGATAAGACGAGACAAAACTCCAATAGTCAGCCAATATAAATTGCAAAGCATGACTTTGTTTTCCTAAATTAAGCAAGAATTAGTAGGTACTGGTTCCAATCTGAGCTTCAAATATGTACCTACTTAATAATATGAGTGTACTTAATAGTATGTACTTAATAATTATGTTTGCGTATGTTTAGAAAGGTTCAATGAATCAATCTATCTATTTATCACTTCTTAAACTTACTTTTGATTTTAAAAGTAATCTCTGTAATAAAATATTTTCGATTCGCAACAAAACAGAAACCCAATATTCTATTATCCAACCGAATCAGATACTTGACATTTATGCTAAAAGCTGTTCATTATTCAGAACTGACAGCTTTTGATGTAACAAATACGATATAAAATAATGGCCTGCCACTAAATATTATTGCCGTAAAAACAAAACAGTACACCAGGGTATACCATAAAAGATTGTTTTACACAAAGAAACTATACCTACATATATTTTATCCCGGCAAGACAGAACCCAACTATAATGTTATATATTATAGATATTTATAAATATTCGTAAATTATTCTAGTACTTATAAGTATAACGGTTGTCTCGTAGATTAAATTACGTCCATGAATAATGTATTTGCATTTATTTTACTACCAACTTTGTTTGAATTCGAATATATACATTTTTTGTACGACAGTAACTATTTAGGGTATTCTAGCAATAAGAATTTTGTATTGCTTTTGTAAAGATAAATCTCTAGTGATAGATTATTAACTTTATCAAGTTTTTACTACACGGGTCTGGTTATTCTAAGGAAATAACATATTTTGAATTCGGTTAATTTAGCGAGATATGCGTTGTGACCTAACGGACAGGTTGCATTGCTGGCAATTAATCAGGATACATGCAGTATGAATGAAGCTCAGACATATTTAAAGGATTAAATTATCCAATCTTTAAATAATTCAATCAATTCATCAATTCAATTCATCAAATTTAAATAATTTAAATATTTATTTAATTCTAAAATTGGAATTGATAATAAAAAAGAAATTAAGTTAAAATAAGAAGCTCCAAATCTAAAGACGTTCTATTACGTTACTTTTGAAACATTTAACAGCTGGAAAGTCATCAATTGATAATAATCAGACAGGATTAAACTTTTGTGCCAAGACGTCTGAGACAGTGCCAAAATTTCCGAAACCTTCTAAAGTTTTATAAAACCAACAGCTAAATAAAATTGATATCCGTGGTTAGTATCAAATACAAAATTCACGTTTGCAATTCTCCCTATATAGAAGCTAATAATACCCATTTGTACAAGAGCCAACACAGAGCGAGTGGCTTCACCTTACATTGTGTAATTTTCATCTGAATCCATCCACTGTGCTTGTATATAAAGTAGCAAGAGTGCAGTACAATGAGATGAGAAGATTGACTGAAAGGGCGCACGGCGATGCTGTATTTGCATTCCCATGTTGCATCGCTGCCGGATGTTCTCCTGACAAATATAATAAAATAATATATGAATGAGAAACATAAGTTAATATATTTAATAACAAAGTATCTTACGAACTGAATTACTTAATTTGAGTATTTCGTTTCAAAGGAAGCAAGCTAATAAAAGTTAAAGAGAAAAGTTTTGCTAATCTTCAAATTTCATAATTACCAATTATATTAGAAAAAAACGTCATGAACTCGTCACGTACTTTCACAGAATTTAGAGAATTCAAATTAGGTTAGCTATAAGCAGAAGTATTTCTATTCATATGCAAATGCATAATTTGAAACTGGGTTTTGCAAAACTATTTTTATTAAAAGTTCTGGTGTATACTTTGTTTGTACGCTACAATACAGATTTGTCTTTGTACAAAAGAAAATAAATGGAAGGAAACTTCTGTACAAAAAAACGTACCATGTTTCACTGTAAGTTTACCAAAATACTTTATAAATTTACTTAGAAAGCATTATTACAAATCTAATATTGTTTATTTATCAAAAATAAATACAGCGCCTGAGGGATACAGCTTTGAAACAAAAGAAAAAGTTTACGAGTGTCTGTTATAAAGAGGAAGTAATCTAAAAGATATAGGAGGCAGAAAGTACGTGAGTGTTGCCAGCATTTGAGATGGGGTGTACGCTATTTTCGATACGATATTTGTATTTTAACTAAAAGTTTTATTATGAAATTCTTACCATTGATGACATGCACGTTAACAGACGATGCTTCAGCCATAGTTGGTACGCAGCTGTAGTTTCCGCTGTCACCTGGCAGCAGCTTGTCTATAGTCAGTCGTGACGTCAGCTGCTCCGTCCACTCCGTCTTCAGTCTCAGACGCGGTTCATCAAACAGAGTGTTGTCTTCATCTAGTTCCTTATACTCTATTATATTGTGTCCTAAAACAAGAATCCTTTCAATCTCTTGTGGCGGAAACAAATTAATTACTTTTTATAACTTGTACAAGATTTCTTTCTTTCAAATATTGTTTTGTAAATATTTAAAAGCTTTTTTAATTATTTTGAGAGTAACTTAAATCTATGGTATCTTTCATTAATTTTTCATTTACTTATTTAAAGGTGTGTTCCATAAATGCGTAGCTATTGCTAAGAAATCATTAACTTCTGATATCATGAACACTTTCTGCTGGCAAACAGTATAATCTATAATATTCTACCACATTCACACAAAGCCATCTAGTCCTAAACTAAGCAGAGCTTGTAATATGAATACAGGACAACTGATATAGATCATGTATACTTTTTTTTGTAAATACATATATATTATACATAGAAACACCCAGACCAAATCAAACATGAAATGTTAATGCATACAAATCTATAAATGAGCGGGAATCAAACCCGCGACCTCTGGCATAGTTCGTTACACAAAGGACTATGCCATCCGGCCGTCAACAGTCCGTCGACGTCAACGGAGGTCAACAGTATTTCTAAAATACGAAGTACCTACTTACCCTTATACCAAAATATGGTGCCTAAGTCATGCGGGCCCTGGCTCAATATGCACGTCAGCGATAACGAGCTACCAGTCTTCACATACAGGTCTAAGGGACCCAAAATGTGAGCCTTCGCTTCTGTTGACAAAAGAAAAGTATCATTTATTGAAATATTTTAGCACATATAGTGTGAAAACTTCAATCTTGAAGTCACAAATCTGGTTTGCACCTTGCGAGGTGCTGTGATATCCCTTCAAAAATATTTTATGACCTCCATTTTCTTCCAGACCTATTTGATTGAAACAAAACAGCTCGTTAAAAAACAGGTAAAATTTGTATCGGTAGATGGCAAAAAAGCTTCATTTATTCTTATGTACAGTATTTAGAGTTGATTATCTCCGAGAGAACAAAATTATTGTTGCCCAAAAAAAAATAGTTTTAACTATTCTGTTTCCATTTGATATATAGATTGAACAAAGACGAAAAGAGGCACGTGTATTACTCATATAACAAACAAATTTAAATTCTATTGAATATGACCTTCAAGTAAAATCTTAATTGTTCACGAAATTGTTTACTTAACGTGAAATGGAAAATTGTGTTTATTAAGTATTGTGAAATTTATTTCATCAACTATAAAATAAATTTTACTTTGTGAATATAACGCAAAATAAACATGGTTTTACTATGTAATGTTTCATATTCATCAATTAGCGGCTTATTACAAAGATAATTAGATCCTCATCCTTGAATTTTAGACTAAAGCAATATTTGAATTCGTAATACGTTTTAGCACGAAAAATACGAACTTGAAAATTTAAACCATATTCTGAAACTTAATAACACAAGTGTTTCACATAACAATAATAATTCTATGAATATATAAGTGTGTTGTATAATAGGGTGAAAACAAAAACTCATTTTCTGTTTTATCGTCTTAATTCTACAAAAGATGTTGTCTGTTAAGATATTAAAGAGAAAAGAGCCTATCAAGTACCTTCAAAGCGTGATACAGCACGTATACAGTAGAAAAAAACGCCTCTTAAAACGATGAAGGAAAAATTAGGCCAAGATTAAATCTGGCGAAGGTTGTGTTCAGACTTTCATTTCACATTGTTATCGAGGGATTTGGAAAGTTCAAGAGGGTTCATGCGAGCAGTTTTTGTTAAGTCACGGCTAATAAACAAGGATAAAGAATATTGGCCGTTGTTATTTAAAAATTATGTTAATGCGAAAATTAGTAATAAAATCTTTATAATAGAACGGTCATGGTTACGGGTAATTTTATTATTTTAAAGAAAATCGTACAAGAAAAAGTTGGAGAAAATTCTTTTAAAACATCACAGCTCTTGGAGTCAGAAAGTTGCAGCCACAACAATAACTATTAAACAATCTCGGTAACCGCTTAGTTACTGAGAACGTAAACTCTCTTATCGACCCTAATTAAGTTGTAAAAATAATGGAAGGATCATAAAGAACGTTATAGAATTCGAACTCTTCTTAACGTCTAAAGAGTGTGGATGAAATTCAATTTACGTATATACGAGACAACATATATTCATATAATTATATTATGTACACAATTATGTATGTAAAAATGGTTTTCATAATAACAAAGTGCCTGTTACACGTTGGTTAAATAATAAAGCATAATTACTATATTTAGGTATAGTAGAGATTATGATATAAATATTATTATTCTATTCTATTCTATTCGAACCGGATTTTTTCACAATGTAGTTTTTGCTTTACAGTCGACCTGGTATCAGAATTTCGGAATGAACACATTACTATTATATTAATAACCAATAATATTGGTATTTATAAAATAAAAGTACATCACTTTCAAATTTATGAAAGCTACTGTTCACTTTTTTGTATCTTCCCGTAAGTTTTTTTTACTCTTATACTCTTGTACATCTATAAACATATACTTTTAAAAATATTAAAGTCCCCTCAAAATTAGATTTTGGTCGTTATTTTTTGTTACTACTAGACAAGCTCGTCAATAAAAGAAATAAAAGCGGTTGACAACTCAGGCTTGTTAAAACCAAGTGAATAAAAAAAAACAGACAGGATTTTTTTTTAGAAATTATTTTGCTGATTATTTACAAATAGGTACTAGAGATCACCTGGTAATTGAATTTTCACTATTAATTCTTTTTATATTCAGTTTTGATTATATTGTTTATTTCAATGAATAACGTCACTTGAATTTCTTTCCATAACATTCATCATCATCATCATCATCGTCAACAGCCTTTAACAGTCCGCTGCTGGACATAGGCTTCTCCTTAGAAAGGAGGTTTTAGCCTACTATACCACCCTGGCCGCACAGGTTGGTATAGGTTTTTTTTAAAGTTTTCCTTCTCTTTGCATTGCTGTTGTTCTGCAGAGTTTGCTTCCTTAGTCGCCTCTTACGACACCCACCAGGGGATGAATGGAGTTGATGACACTCCGCATTTTTAATCCGTCACCACACAGACAACATTAACATTATAGGTCAATAAATATACTGGACCCGTGTAAGTTGATGTAATTTTTACATAATTACACAAATTGCTTTTAGCGTTTTATACTTCTATGTACTATACATATGTAACATCCTCGTTGGCGAATTTTTCCTCAAATGCTTATAAAGAATTCTGCTCACGTATACAAAAGTTTTTTAAAATATAAATGGATGCACACCTACAGAGCTTTTAAATACATAGATAAATGTTTGTAATATGGTATTTACTAGAAATATAATTATATTTTTTAATTTACTAAATACATCTTATACGTTGGCTACAGCTGTATCTATTTCTTGTCATTTGACCCATTTACGTCGTAAGTATTCAAAGTTTGGTAGTTTATTTGCTGTGTCATTAAACTGGCTTAAGGGAGGCAAGTGGCAAGGCAAGCAAGCATTAAGTGCTCAGGAAGCTTGGAAAATTGCAATGTCGAGTGACGCCAGTTCCAGCCTTTATATTGTAGTGACAAAGTTTGCAGCGAAACTTAGGCTGCGTCGTTAATGAATGCTGCGATTCACCTAACTTTACACTTTATTGAAATTATTTATTAAAGAGCCTAGGTTTGAACTAGTTTTGGTTTTGGAATCCGGTTAACTTCTTACTTTAGCGATAAAACTAATTTTGTCGAGCTTTTATGTTCTTCATTACATTAAAATCTCATTACTAAGTTTAAAGTTGGACATCTTCCAAAATTAATCTTTATATTATCTTTGATGACATTATACTAAATGTTTAATGAGAAAAGTAACTATGTACTTTTTATGTTCTTATAAGAAGTACCAGAAATTTTCATTATAATTACATAGTATTATATATTACGTAGTAAACATTTGGAATTGACATCAAAAGAAATGGTTTTCAAAGTAATAAAAAGTCATTCCAATCTAGGATTGTGTAGAATCCATTGTTTTGAAATAAAAGCAGCTCAGACAGTCTGAAAGGCGGGTGATGAAATTAGTCTGTAGCCTTAACATGTTGTGGCAATAAAAACTATTGATCTGTTCTTCAGTACAAGACGCTTTTAAATAGTAAGTAACTTTATTTGTATTTGAGTACGTTATTAGGTGATGTTATTGAATGTATAATTGGATTATTAAATTACTTTAAAGGTTTTAGATTAAATCAATAGTTCTATGTATTTTTTTAGCCTGTTACTTGAATAAAGTATGATATCGACAAGTTTCGTTGTTTCACACACTAGAACACACTTATATTCCATATGTCAATTAAGTAAATAAATTTTCAATGACAAGTGTTACTTATACAAGCTAACATCAACACATATTATAAGTTAACATATTACATAGTTTACCTTTGAACTAATTAATTAACATGTTTAGATACACAATCAAATATTCAATCAAAACTTACCTCAAACGTTTAATCTACTAACCGAATAACAACTTTACCAATTATCGAGATTATCGGTAGTCGCCACGTTCAACCACAGATAAAACAGAAATTAAAGTAATTGCTATATAATTGGACTTACCGACTACATTCAGTTGGAAAGCCAGAGACATTTTGGGTTCGGTATTGACTTGGCATTCGTAAATTCCAGCGTCTCTTTCCTGTGGGAATTTTATTTGTAGCGTCCAATTTTCTGATTTCTCTGGCCTAATCACCTGTAAGAAACAGAATTGGTTAGTGCATAAAAAATAAATTGTATTCCCTACACGAAAATCGCTAGAGTGAACATATGGAAAATGATATATTCAGACGGTTGCTAAATCTATTTTAGGTACTTAGTTTAGATAGGGGTGTTTTGACTGATGTGTTATAGTCCAAAAAGAGTAAGCAGAAGCATAATAAACATCCTCACTTTGAGGTTATTCATGGCCAATACAAATCTATAGAAATTGATAGGGTTTAATAAAAGAAAAACAGATAAGAAAAGAAAGAAATAGGAATGAGATAATATACACTTAAAAAAAGTCGAACTGAGTTTTTTTATTTCATTTGAATTAAGTGTTCAACATTAGATTTCATTTTTAAATTCGATTTCCAGCAATTCCACAATTAATGGAGGAATTGCGATGGAGTAATGATAATTTTTAGCTATTATTTAATATTGAGCTACGCCTCATCATTATAAATCATACAAGGATCAATTGCTTAGCAACCATATTCAAGTAAGTAATTGAATCCTAATCATGTGAAATAATTTGCATCAAGTACTCCTTAATTCATATGGAAATTTTAACATGGAATCTCCCACAAAGCGAAGACAAACAGGGAAATCCGAAAATTATTTGAGCTCTTTGAACTAATAAATGTATGAAACAATATTTGTCAAATATACCACGAGTATTTGGCATATATAAAGTTAATAGGATCAAATTGCTACCTTATAGGATCAAATTGGTACAGGGGCTCGAATAACTTTGGAATGAAATTAAAAAGGCCTTCGGAACTCTACAAACACCTAAGCGTTACCAAAATGCATGTCTTGTCAAAATCACAAAACAAAATCGTTAGTTCCCTTCCAAAAGACAAAAATTCATCAGAGCTCGAGTCACGACTCCAATTCCACAAGAAATTCATGGTGGGTACGCAGTCCAGTAGAGTTGGATTGGAAAAGGCTAAAAGACAGACTGACAAAAAGATAACAACATCTTTGCTACAACATGAAAACGAGACCTACAAGGTGCACTCAATGAACCTAGAAATGCAGAATGAATGGTTAACTGCAGGAGAATTTTGTGTCTCCTCGCCTCGGCGTTCAGATCAGACATATTTTTATGCAATTTCAATTAAGCGTGTAGTACGATGCCGTGGGAAACGAACATGCCTGAAGACAACGCTTTAAAATGAAATAAGTACTTTGACTTAACCAACGAAATAAGTAAAAATGGTGTGCGAGGAAGTAAAAGTGGGTGCGAGGGGTATACCAGCTAAATCCCTGTATAACCCGCTTAAGGACCTTGGATTATCAATATTTACCCTTTCTAAGATATATAGACATTAACAGTAATATAAAATTGTAAAATTATAGTTAAACTGCAAGATTTAAACGGTTGCCTTACCTGAAATCTCTGATCTGATGTATAAGTAAGAATTCCGGCAGTTAATATATGGAGATCTCGTTTCCTGATCCATGATACCTGCAAAGAGAGAAAGTTAAGTCCGACGTTTGATGTTTCACTACTCTTTTTTAAGTCTCTAAGTAAGGTAGATAAAATGCTATCCATCCGATAATTCTCAGTACAGTACGGTTTACCTCCGGTACTAATAGGAATTAAGATCGAAATCAAATTATGCAAATACCTCTGTTAGAGTTAGAATAAACAGGAACAGTAAACTGTATTGAAAGTATCGAATTAAGCCACTTGTACTGTTCCACAATTTATTTATTTTATTGTGTATGTTTATTTACTAAACATGACTGTATTTTCAAAGGGTATTTTTTTAAAGACATTATTACTAATAATATATATTAAAATATATATACTATTGAAACTCTTAAGAAAAAATTTTTTTTGACTAAATATTTGAATACTGGTTTAATTGTACAAAAGTTGGAAATTTGTAATAAATAATTCTTGCGTTGCGTTCGTTCATGGTACATGTATTTTTTTTTAATACAGAACCAAGAGTGTACGATACTGGATCAGGAATATAGTTGTGTATGGCCCTTTGAACAAAAATGGCAGAAATCTCAAAAACACTTAATAATTCATTTCTCGTATAGATTCACTCAGTCGCTTCAAATTGCTTAAAGCAGCTTATGTATCAAGGTTTTATTGACTTCCTCCCAAAATCAAATATATCGTTTAAGAAAGAAGGTTATATAATTTATTATTTACTGTTGTAACAAGACAAGCAATAAGACATGTTGTCTTATGGTAGGTATATGTGCGTTGCTGCTCTTTGAGTCTGTTGCCATGGCAACACCATGGTGTTATTTATTACCATTCACGCGTTTGACTTTTTGATTATTTTAGTTGCTAGTTTTTACATGTTATTAATAGTGTAAACCTTATGACGTTTAATCCTGACCATATTGGTATAGCCATATTTATCGACTTTCATATCAGGCTAAACCTTATCACCGAAAGGTTTCCATCATTAAATTACAGTCACCATTCATCATTATTTTCATGCTCGGTTCTCAATTTTATTTGGGATCTGTAAAATGTGCTTTGTGCAAAGCGTTTTCACTTGTTTCTTTTACGTCCCGCCTGACTGATGCCAGTATTTCCTGAGAATTTAATCGATTATAAACAGGACAAAGGAAGTGGGTAAATTGAGGTAAAGTCAACGGATTGGTCGAGGGAGCTACTGTAGGGTGTGCTGGAATAAGTCTAAGATGGGAAAACGAGACTAATAGTGCAGAAGCTGGAAGTGGCCTAAGTCGCGTACCTATGTACCCATTAAATGATTCGAAACAGAACTAGAACAACTGGAGTTTCTCTTAGTTATAACTAATCATTCATTATGATGGTTCAAAATACCACAGCGTTATATTCGTCTTCAGTTCATAATTACCCATTACATTTATTTAGAACAGAATTCAGGATCGCATTTAAATCTGAGGTTACCGTGCTAAAATAGCTAATAATCAATACTAACCGTTTCGTTCGACTAAAGGCATTGTATGGAACTAGAGCGATCTATTTCCAGACACGCTTTTATAAACTCTTTTATTTTTGCACTGGGAATTGTGTCAAAGAAAGTGCTTTACAGCTAAAGGTTATTATTTGTATTTATTACGTAATAGCGTTGATTCCATAGAAATATGTTCATAATTTCTACTATCAAGTTTTACTACGTATGCCACTATAAAAATATATTATACTGTATAATACCTACGGTATATCACATTGTGATTTTAAGCTTAAACATTCTTCAAACATCAAATATTGAATAAAATTTACCTCAAATGCGAAGACAAAAAAAGCTTTATCTGCTTTCGTCTTTGAAATACAAATATTTTATGACTACAAAGTGAATCCAAAAGATAATAAATTTGATGTTTAACATAAACCAAAACCTCATACGAGTATTTGCTAGTAAACATAAACGCAAAGTTCTAAGACCAAGGATAGTATTTTTTGTTTTTTAAAACATCTTTTCTATTACTAGTTCTTACTATCCCAGTTATTTATAGTGGCTTGAAAGCTTCACTGAATGAATAATGAATATAAAAAGTTACATCATCACTGAAAATAGATGTAATTTGATGAAATTCCATCTATTTTCAGTTTGAAGCAAACCAAATAGTGAAAATTAAGGCCAAAATAAAATTCCAAAGCGAACCTCGTGGTATGTAGAATCTTAATAGCTCCCTAGAGTACCCCATAATATCATAATTGGTCACGTATGAGTAATAAACAACAGCACGATATCAGCCGACCCACGTACTTAGCAGCTAGTTAGTACAACCCAGTGCAAACGTTATAATTAAAAATGTAAGCTGATATTTTTATGATATAAAGACATGAGGAGACAGGTCAACAGATGCATAAACGACTATCACCGCACTAAGACACTTACAATACGTTGTGTTTAAAATACGTTGCTATTTAGTCTTTGTATTTGTATTTCGGAACTACCGTAGGCGTCAATTTGTTTCACAGATTGATTGTTTATTTCAAGAAGTAATTTGCAAAGTGCACAGCGGTAGAGTGAAAATTAAACTTTGTTTTTATATTTCTAAGAATTAAGTTGGTTACAAGTTACCTGAGGATTGGTTTAACGTAATGTACGATAGTCAAACCAGAGATACTTGAGCGATGATTTCATACACACATATTGTGAAACAAGCCATTCTGATAGCGATACTAAAATATTTTTTTACATAAGTCTTAAAAAACTTTAAGTCGTTCGATGAACTCATGTACATGTCTCATGAACCAATGTCGATAAATAAAGTAATTAAATATGATAATAGTTAAGTTAGTAATTTATATTTTTTTAAACCAACAATTATTTTCATACAGGAGTAAAAGCACTTAGTTAATAGAAAACACATAATAAACATAATATATAATGAATAGCGCATAAAAATATTCTACCTATCTGTATACTATACTCCATGCAAATTGAGTATTGAATAGCTTGTAACACAAATGTTCGTGTATCAATTTCTTATTTGCAGTTAACAAAATTGTTCCATTTGGCATTCAGACAGTGCAAGTTCGTTTATAAGGCATAACACATGTAGCTATGTAAAAATGTTTACACTTATTAATTAAAATTTATTTTTGAAGGTTCATTTTATCAAACTGTTTGAGTATACATGCTTTTGAATGTATAAATAACAAATGGTCAATAAAGTTAAAATAAAAGCCAAATAAAGAAAATAAAATAAAAAAATAAAAAAGTTCATTTTAATAATATTCTTCATGAGGATATTATTATGATTAATCAGTGATGTCTCCTCAGCGGTAAGAAATAACCCTACGACCGGGCATACGTTTTCCTTTCTTTCTCCCCTTTGCCAAAATGGTTGATGTTTGCATAAAAACTTTTAAATTTGTAACATAACTAATCTTATTTTGATAGATATAGTACGTCATAGAGCCATGCTTCAACACAAATGGACCAGGCTCGACCGGAATGATACCGGGCCTCACTGTGAAAAGCGGTGTTAAGCAGTTCTTTGGCTGCTTTTCACCGAGTGTACCCAGCCCAAACTACTACTACTCATTAGATCCTCCTTTTCTAAATACCGTTAAAGAGAATGATGGGACAGACGAAACTTGCTTTTTAATTTGGACGGATGAAGATTATGGAAGAGGTAATGATGTACTTATTATAAATATAAATAGGAAAACAACCAACAAAACATAGTTTAAAATATCGCAATGGTTCTCTGTAAATGTGCCCTTTTCAAGACACTTTTTGCCCCTCACTACTAATCTATGGAACAAGTTATCGCCTGCGGTATTGAAAAGATCGTACTCCTTCCTCAAAGGCTGGCAATGCGCTTCTGACTCCTGAGTTGCAGACGTTCATGGGCGGCTGTAGTCGCTTTCCATCACGTGACCCGTCTGCTCGTTTGCCCACCATTCCATAAAGAAAAAAATAGAATTGTAATAAAAAGGAAAGAAAAGAAACAAAACAAATAATTAAAAATTATACTACTTACGGCTTTGTCCCCTAGTTGTTCAACCCTACAATGTAGAAAAGCGGTCTGTCCAACCACTGTGGTCACGTTCCGAGGAACATTATACTCAAAGTACGGGAAGGACCCCACACTGTCTTCGCCGTAGTGTGCTGTTCCTGCAAACAAAAAAATGAAATAGTGAATTAATTCCACTAGCAACTGTAGAAACGTACGCCTACTGTAACTAATTGTAAATCGTTATATGGCAGAATAATAACAAGAACTGAATCAGGCACAAAGACCGGCTCTTTAAGTCTAATTCAAAGTTTGTTAAAAACAAATATTTTATACCTATATATTATATATTCCAAATACCAACTTTTTTTTTTCCGTGCGGAAATCCCCTCGGAAATCCCCTATCGGTGGCATGTCGGACTCGAATTGACTAAAACCGCACGCCGTCTCGCGTACTAATAGCCGGGGAACCAGGTATATCCTAGAAAGGAAGTCCCTGGTGCTCCAAATACCACCTAAACTAATCAAACGTAGCCTATGTTTGATAAATCTTATCAGTCTAGTTCTAATTGATGTGGGACCATTTTGCGATGATTCAAGTATGTTCATTATTAAACTCGTTGAATTAAAGAACTCTAAATACTGCCTGCATAGTCCAAGTAAGTATGTGCTACAACAGCAAATTTAAGTAACTGATTAGTTTTTTAACACGTCTATGTTTAAAAAATTGTAAGAGATCGATATCGATTTAAAACTATCAAAGTGGAGTCTCTGTTTCAAAAAATGTATTTTAATTACTACGAGACGACAATATTATCGAATTACTTTTCCTGTTTCCTGTTTATGATAAATATATTTTGATATAATGTTTTTTTATCTCTTTACTCAAATATAATATGTTTAAAATATCTACAGATTATTTTTTAGTATCCTGTTAAACTCTATGTAGCATCAATTCATAGAAATTTTACTACTAATATACTTCTTCTTTCGGACCTTTTGCCCAAACTAAGTTGGGGTCAGCCTTAAGTCTACTATGATGCGTAGGAATTTCGTTTTTTTACGCAGAGCGACTGCCATCAGACCTTCACAATATCGTATCGATATCGAAGTTCTGTAGAAAGACTGTTTTTGGACTTTTTAGGGCTCCAACTTGCCGTAACGATTACATGCTGTGCTAAGAATGGTCACCCGTCCATAGACTGACCTGGCAAGGATTGCTTAACTTTACAATGTAGTAACCTTCTCGGTTACCACTAAGCCACGAGTCCCTTTACTGACTATTGTTAAATTTAACAAAGCTTTATTTCGGAATTATTCCATTTATTTGGCGTTCAAATATAACTGAGATGATATTAATTTCAGCTTATGTGGCAATAATACATTTTAACTTTCTATTGCATAAAAAGCTGTGTTGAAAAAGGCTCCCGTTCGTAAAACCTAGCTTAGTACTAAGTAAACATACCTTAAAATTTGTAAAATGGGTAAAAAATATTATTATTATTTTACAAACTATTGTATAATGTGGGTATATTAAATATTATTATGAAATTTCATTTTATAATGTAAATTGTACTTTAAATCTTTCAGGGCTACATTGAATTATTTTTTTAATATATTTATCATTATGTTATTGCGTTGTGCGTAATTTTCACAAAATGGAGTCATTATCAAAAATATAATAAAAATAATAACTTCACATATCTCACACAAGTAGTTTAATCCAGAGCCAGATCCATGGTGTAATCAGGCTGCTTTATCAGCAGTCTGATCATACCATGGCTCTGGCTCTGACATACTTAAATGTTTTTAAATACATACATATTATAGATAAATTACACCCACCCACAGAATAAAATAATTGTTCTCATCATACAATAATTTGTTCTGGGTGGGAATAGAACCTACGACCTTAGTAATCATTAGAGCAACAGGCCCGTCGAATTTAATAAAACAATAAAGGTAGCAAAAAAAAATTACTACACGTGCCAGTTTGCTTATTAAGGCGCCCTGTGTACATTCTGTTTGTGCCAAAAGGAATACAAAACGAGACAAATAGTATTAACAAAGATGTCAGTGATAAAGAAATTATTCATAACAGAGGCATAAAAACTTGTGTGTGTTGTTTATATTTATTAACTATTGCCATGGCTTCGCTGGTCTAGGTTTGAAAATAGGCTCTGCATTGATTGCATTGATGAATCAGTCAGACAGTCAGGACAAGTAATATATCTTACACATCTCACACACGGACGTCTGATCCCAAACTAGGCAGAGCCTGGACCATGGTAACCAGACTGCTGATAAACATATTTATATATTTTTAAATACATACATATTATAGATAAATTACACCCAGACACAGACCAAATGACCGTGCTCATCACACAATATTTGTCCTGGGTGGGGATCGAGCCCATGACCTTCGGTTTAGCAGTCAACGTCACTAACCACTAGACCAACAGGCTCGTCAGTACGTCAAGTAACTTTTTATGTATAGATTAAGATATATGTTTCTTATCACGTGTATGTTTTGGAGATGACCGACCAATTTCGGGTCCAACATCATGAGAAAAGTTGTAAGGTAGCAGTCTAATCGATAAACTGGGCCGATCGAGATCGATCGCCCAAGCCGATCTGGATATACAGGTATTTAATGATGTTGTCTATTATGTTCTGATGTACCCAAATCTGTTTGTGTGGTGACGGATTAGGAATACGGAACGTCACCACCCCTATTCGTACCGTGGGTATCGTAAGAGCCAACCAAGGGAGCAAACTACGCTGGACAACAGCACTTACTAAACCGTCTGGTCAACGTGGTGTAGTAGGCCAAAACTTCTTTTCTATGGAGAGATCTAAGTCCAGCAGTGGAGTCTTAAAGGCTCTTGATGATTATGGTAATGATGATGATGTAATCCCAATGTGATGATGTAATAAACCCAAATCAAGTCTGGTCAATGATACCGCGGTAGTCAATTGACCATTTTAATATATAGCTGGGAACATCGTAATGTAGTTTTCTTACACTATACTCGCGGTGTTGTACGAGAAAGAGAGCAGTGTAACTTTGTGATTTATAAATTTCAATTACGACAAACGATAAATGGAAATTGGTTAAAGTAACAGTGAGTTACTTGCAGAAAATAGCTTGCTGAAGAAATTTTAGAAAATTTAACGTGCAATCTCAGAATATCTCGGAAGTCACCCGATCGTAGAGGTTAAATATTGTTTAACGTTACTTCACCTCGAGCCAAAACATTTTTGGTAGATAAGTCATAAGATTATTGCTGCAATATCTGAAGTAAAATCGTTTTCGGGCCTAAATTAATAAAATATTTTAGGTATGTGTTCCAAAGAATCAGCACGATGTTCTTCCTCACATCGTGGAATCTAAAATTCACACGCAGTCCAAGCCTTCAGATAAATTTATTTCAACAAATACTTTGTTAGTAGATAAAACCTACTACTGCGATTTTCTTGACAGATCAAAGTATACTGTTTTTCAAGAAATAAGTTATTTAAATGGCCAGTAACACCGCTGAAGTTATTCAGCGATAACCGTTTCTATCAGAAAGGTTGTTTTGCTTGTTTATTTCCGACATGCTAAAATTCATGTTGAACACAAAATGTTTTTATTTACACATGTACGATATGTTCACATCATTAATTATTTTGAAACTGAAAGGTATCGTGGCTTTACAATATCGTTTGCAGTTTGACTACGAACAGCTATATTTGTTAATCTTTGCTTTGTAAAAACAGAATTGTGCATTGATATTTATAAATCACAAAGTCTCAAATTCGAAACAGACAAATTGTAGTTTTATTTTGCTTTCTTTTTATTTGTTTATTATTAGATACTTTTTTTAAATTTTGATGACGAAGGGGGTAAACAAGCAGATGGGTCATCTGATAGAAAGTGACTCCCACCCCTCAGGAACGCACCCAGTAATCACAAGCACATTGTCAGTGGGAGTATCATTTCTTCTTGTAAGTTTAAAGGACCAAAAATACCGCAGGCAACAATTTCATGAATGTGTTTACTACTCCTAATTATTATTGCTACCACGTCTTAACTACATAGTAGTCATAATTAATCATAAAATCTTACTATACAACGTGTGTTTTATGTTTTAACGAATCTGTAAACCACATATTCTGCACTTTATTGCTAGACGATTTGCAAAATATGAACAAAAAATATTCAGTGGTTTGAAACAGGACATTTTTTATTGTTTTTGTAATTTGCAACATCATGTGTAAATGCAGTCATAATATATTAACCTCAGGTGGCGATCAGCTGTATACGCAGCGCAGTATCAGCGCGGAATCGAACGAAATAAGTTGATTTGACTGCACGGACCTATACCAACCCGTCTGGCCAGCGTGGTATAGTAGGCCTAAACCTCCTTTCTAAGGAGAGGCTTATGTCCAGCAGTGGACTACTAAAGGCTGTTGATGATGATGATGACTGCACGGATGGCGAAGTGGTTTAAGCGGTCGCCACGCCGTTTACTACTACGATGAGTGTTGTGGGTCCGATCCCCACATGGGACAACACTTTGTGTGATTAACAAATTGTTGTTCCGAGTCTGGGTGTTCTTTGTGTCCGTTTCATGAATGTTTGTTAAGTCCCCCGCGATATATTCTTATTGTAGTTGTCTTTTAAAAAGCACGAATTTAATATTAAAATCTATTTCCATAGATAAATTCGTTTATTGTGATTCTATCTATCTATTTTTGGATTATCACCAATCGACTGCCGTTTTTATTATTATAGACTGATTTTGTGTAGTGTAAGACACTGTGTTGTTTAACGTTTTATTTTGAATGTTTAACAGTACCTCAACCAGTAATGCGATTCAATAATATATGGTTGCTGAATTTTGTAGGAGCCACGATCGTATTATATACATTTGTATATTGGATCAACCATCCGTGCCGCCATTTTGCCAAATTGATAGTTATTAATTAAAAAAGAAAACAGTTTTCGCTATTCATATATTTTACAATTCAATATTTGATGTCAATTGAATTCTATGTAGTGCACTGTAGGATTCTTTTTGTGTCCTAACCTAATCAAGTGGCCAACAATGGAAGATAATACCTATTGTAGTTGTTGTCCGCTATTTAATTAAAGTAATATGGTTTTTGCGTATAATTCAGGGTATTACTGGGTATTAGTATTAAAAGGTCGAGAGACTAATGAAATTTTGTGTTGTAATAACAAGAATGTTTTAAGTAGTGTGTCTGTATAAATTACGAAATAATATATTTTTGTTAACGATAAATTTTTATTTGCAAATTTTGTTATTTAAATAGATAAGTCTAATTTTTACAACATGTTTAGTATTTCATCATCATCATCATCATCAACAGCCTATAACAGTCCACTGCTGGACATAGGCCTCTCCTTAGAAAGGAGGTTTTGGCCTACTATACCACGCTGGCCAGACGGGTTGATATAGGGTTTGTTTCAAGTTTTCCTTCTCTTTGCAGTGCTGTTGTCCTGCGTAGTTTGCTCCCTTAGTCGGCTCTTACGACACCCACAGGATGAAAAGGGCAAAATGATAATTAGCTATTGTTAATTTGACTTCTGAGTGGGTTGTTTAAATTATTCTTTCAGAAAACTACAAAAGTTTTGCGTTTAAGGAACAAAGCAAATATTGTTATTCATTTGATTTTACGAAATTTTACTAATTGAATTATTAAAAACGATATAATTTTACTCGCTACATTCGAATACCTAAATTCGCCAGTCGTAATTGGAGATAATACCTTGAAAGTAACGTTTTATTTAATCAACTGTATCTTTTAATCTTATTAAGGCAGTTAGCACTGAAAACATTTTCAAGGTATTTTTAAATCTCAACATTAAAGTGTGGAACTTCAGGTGTCTTAATAATGTAACAAGCTTAACGTGAAACCATATATGTTCCCGCCACTTGACCTGATAGCTTTATACTAAGCCCCTTAGGCTTTAAAGTAAGTACTAATACCTAGCTATCTGAACGCATCAGACTTGAGGACGTGAATGCGAAAATATTTTCCTTAGCACTTTTAAAGGACGTACTACTAATGGCAGTGGCTTCGCTTGTGTAAATATTTTTTACTTCGTATTTCTTCTTACTAAGAAAATGACGAACTGCCATACAACCGTTCATCCATTATTTTAACCCCTTAGGGGTGAAATTTCCAAAAATCCATTCTTAGTGGGTGCTTAGTATAAAAAGTTCTTCGTATAAAAAGCATCAGATGCCAAAAGTTTGTAGTCCCAGCGGTATAGGGTTTCGTTGATAAATCAGTCAGTAGGTTGGGGCAAGTAATTTTTTTGGTTTAATTTAATTTCAAAAGACAAATAAATTAAAAGAATTAAAAAAAAACACTACGACTGTTCTTCTTTAAATGTTTTAACAGTTGAAGATTTGTGATAAATTGAAGCAAAGGTTCGTACCATTGATACAAAGCTGTTCAATTCTATCATTATAGTGTCCCTTTTCGAACTAAATCAGGACTACTACATATAGGTATGATAATGGGATTCAGTACCATCACATATGAGTGAGCACTCCAAAAAAACTGTTTATACTCACACTGTCTATTCTGTTTATTGAACAGTTTCTCTGATAGCATTCATATAACATTATGATCGTCCATTACGGCTCAAAATAACATCCATCCAAGCAATATTTACAGGGTAAGACGTGGTTTGTCTAATATAAAGATAGTATAAACTTAATTAATTTTAGTTAACATCATCCATTAAACAATACATTACAATAACATAAACAGTGATTGTAATTTAATTACTAACATTAATAATGTAGAGCAATACGAACCTATTAATCTATGTGATTGATTTAAGCAATCAAGATCGTTGGTACAGAGCTTTCGCACCTTATATTAATACATTTATAATTTCTTAATGCATCAACAGTTCATTGTAGGTACGTTAATACTCGTATAGCTTCAGCTAAACTAAATCTTGTGTTAGGAGTGGGCTGCTGTTAGTAGTGAACTAGGTGAGTTACAATCCTGTAACTACTTGATCACAAGTTTGACTATCTAACTAAATTTATTATTTCCAGTTGGTAGTTCTTTTTATTAGTACTAACTACCAACTTTAAACTATAACCTACAACTAAAAACTTCAATCTACAAACTACAATGACGACTAACTGGGTCAAGGTAGTTTTTTGTTTGTTTCTTTCTTTTTACTATTTATTTTCGTAAAGACTCCCACACTTGAAATATATCTTGTATATACATCCACCGAACGTGCAAAAAGAACACCCAACACACAAAGCGTTGTTTCATGTAAGGAACGAAACCACAACGCTCAGCGCAGAAGAAAGCGGCGAGGCACTTAAACCACTGCGCCACCAGTGCAGTTATATACGACTAAATAATTAAAGGTCTTCAAGTTCATAATTTTAAAGAAGAATAAGTCTGTATCTCTTGAGTTGTGTTGCCCACACTAAGAATATATCCAGTGTAGCAGGGGAGTTTACAAACATACATGACACAAAGAACATCCAGACTCAAAACAACAATTTGTGGATCACACAAAGTCGGGGATCAAACCCACAACACTCAGCGTAGTAGAAGGCGGCGAGGTGACCGCTTAAACCGCTACGCCATTCGTGTAGTCTATTAGTTAACCAGAATAATATATTTTGGATGAATCTGTGTTTAAACTCTGCACATGACAATTTCATAAAAGGGCCCTGGCCCTTTGGCTCTTTCCATACAACAGCCAATTCGGACTGATACTACCCCTATTGTGTTAGTGGGACTAAATTGGAGTTGGTAAATATAGATGTTTAATAATATTTACAATTATGCCTCTGCCTATCTAAAGTGATATCCCAACAAGCGTGAGTATGTAGGTAAATGATGAAACAGACAAGAATTAAATAATACAACTCGAGGTAGTGGTTTCAAACAAACTCTATTATGAGCTTATCGTGTCTATGTTTCTTTAATCACATTAAAGCCTCTGTAATGCTATCTACTTTCAACACGATAGCAACAGAGTATAATTTTGTTGTACATTAATGCTTTGTTATGAAAGGGTAGGATAACATAATGTAATATTTAATGAGCGATTGATATTCATTTTACTAGTTAATTTTTGTTAGAGCACTGAAGTTAGTGCTCTAAAGTTAACTTTTGTGTACACGAGCACTTAGGATTTCAAATGAAACCACTGTGTACTGATCTTCTGAATCGCATTGTTTGTTAATATTTTGAAATAGCTCACTTAACGTATAAATTCTTTACGCTTATATACAACGGTTTGCAAATAATCATAACGCGATCTACGTCGGTGGTACGCCATCTAGTGACTACAACTAGAACTATTTTGTTGACTGTAAGTTGGGTCTTGAACACTTTTCATTATGATTTTCAATAAAGATGGCGAGTCATGAACTACTTAACTAAACAATTACAGGCAATCATTATACAGGTGACAGGTACCTGGATGCTGATTACATATTATATTAAGACACATCAGAAACTTTTTTTGCAATCTTACTAATTTAGTCGTATAAAAGAAGTAAAATAATATACAGCCATATTAACGATGACATGTAAAATCATCACCAGACTA